ATGACTCCAAGATCCTTTTCTGCCTCTGCACTGACGAGAAGGGAGTTCCCCAGCCTGTAGGTATAGTGCTGGTTCTTCCTCCCCAGGTGCAGTACCCTGCACTTGTCAGTGTTGAAACCCATCCTGTTCTTATCCGCTTACCCCTGTAACCTGTCTAGGTCCAACTGCAGACTATTCCTCCCTTCTAGCGTGCCCACTTCTTCCCACATCTTAGTGTCGTCTGTGAATTTGAACAAGGTACTTTTCACCCCTCGTCAAAGTCGCTGATGAAGATGTTGAACAGTGCAGGACCGAGCCCTGGGGAACCCCACTGCCCACATCCCTCCAGGTCAAATAAGACCTGTCCACCACCACTCTCTGGGTGCGGCCCTCCGGCCAATTACTGACTCATTTGACTGTGCAGGCATCGACAACACAGTCTCCTAATTTTTTTAATGAGAATGGGTTGAGAGACAGTGTTGAAGGCTTTCCTAAAGTCCAGAAAGGCTACATCCACTGCTACCCCTGCATCCAAGGATTTTGTGACCTGTTCATGGAAGGCCTCCAGGTTGGTCTGACAGGACCTGCCTCTAATGAACCCGTGTTGGTTGCCCCTAAGCATAATCTCCCCTGCTGGCCCCTTGTGGACATGTGCCAGGATAATTCTCTCAAAAAGTTTACCCAGGACCGAGGTAAGACTAACAGGCCTATAGTTTCCTGGGTCTTCCTTCCTCCCTTTTTTGAAAATTGGAACCACATTGGCCCTTTTCCAATCCAGGCTTCTGATTTATAAATATATTAAAGGATCCTAATGGTTTTTCTCTTTGGCTATTTGTACAAATTTCCACGTTATCTCCTCAAACATATGCCTTTCTTTTAAGTGTAAATTGTGTATGAGCAAAGGGCACTGCAGCAGATACTCCCCAGGGAGGAATTGCACAGGCTTTGCCTGGACTCCCTAGAGCAGGGGTGGGCAATTATTATGGGCGGAGGGCCGCTTATTGAGTTTTGGCAAGCCATCAAGGGCCACGTGACAGGCAGCCAGGGGCAGATAAATATTAATTTTCTAAATTTTTTAGGGGCCCTGTGGGCCGGATAGAATGGCCTGGCAGACCACATCCAGGCCCCAGGCCGCATTTTGCCCACCCCTGCCTTAGAGTACAAGGCTAGTCTAAGAGAGAGATGCACAGGCTGTCGCATCATAGTTTCATAGTTTGTAGGGTCGGAAGGGACCTGAGCAGATCATCAAGTCTGACCCCCTGCCTTGGCAGGAAAGGGTACTGGGGTCAAACAACCCCAGCAAGGTGATTGTCTAAGCCTCCTCTTAAAGACCCCCAGAGTAGGAGCCAACACCACTTCTCTTGGAAGTAGGTTCCAGATCCTAGCTGCCCTGACCGTGAAGTAGCGCCTCCTGATGTCTAGTCTCAATCTACCCTCTGCCAGCTTGTGACTGTTATTTCTTGTCACTCCTGGTAGTGCTTGGGGGAACAGGGACCCCCCCCAATGCCTGCTGGTCCCCTCTGACTAGTTTGTAACAGGCCACTAGATCCCCCCACAGCCTTCTCTTGTGGAGGCTGAACAGGTTCAGGTCCCTTAGCTGCCCCCTGATCATGCGAGTGGCCCTCCTCTGGACCCTCTCCATGTTGTCCACATCCCTCCTGAAGTGCGGTGCCCAGAACTGGACGCAGTACTCCAACTGCAGCCTGACCAGTGTCGCATAGAGGGGGAGTATCACCTCCTTGGACCTGCTCGCGATGCATCTGTGGATGCATGACAAGGTAGAGTTGGCCTTCCTGACCACACCCCCACACTGTCAGCCCATGTTCATTTTGGCATCAATAATGACCCCAAGATCCTTCTCTACCTCTACACTGATGAGAAGGGAGTTCCCCAGCCTGTAGTTATTGTCAGTGTTGAAACCCATCCTGTTCCCATCCGCCCACCCCGTAACCTATTCAGATCAGATTGTAGCCTATTCCTTCCTTCTAGTGTGCCCGCTTCACCCACATCTTAGTGTCATCTGCAAATTTGAACAGGGTCTATTTTACCCCTTGTCCAAGTCGCTGATGAAGATGTTGAACAGTGCGGGCCTGAGGACTGAGCCCTGCAGAACCCCACTGCCCACATCCCTCTAGGTCGAATAAATCCCATCCACCACCCTCTAGCCACTTAGTGACCCATCTGACTGTGTAGGCATCGACACCACATCCTTGTGGACTGTCTGTGAATGCCACTGTTCTTGACCTTTATGTGTGGCACTCCTAGGGAGTGGGATGAGGGAGAAGGTCCCTTATCTCCTCCCTCCAGCACAAGAATCAGCTACAGCTCAGCCCTTAACATCTCCAGGGCCAGAATATGACTTTGTCAAAGACACTGCTTTGGCCTGAATGAACTCCTTCATGGTTGTATAACTGTTGTGTGTATTTGTTCCCCCATGCTCCCAGCTTTCAATGCTGGGAGTACACTAGACCAGCGTTTCCCAAACTTTTTTGTACCAGGATCCATCTGTAAACATTGACGGCCAGTCCTGACCCAGTGCCCCTCGCTCCTGACTTGCTGTCCCCCACCCCCAGCCCTCAGCCCCCCCAGTGTGTGGGGTGGGTGGGGCAGGGGGACC